CAAATGAAAAGATGCTGGAAGAATGCCTGACGCCATCTGTTAAGCATGGTGGAGGTAATGTGATGGTCTGGGGTTGCTTTGGTGCGGGTAAGGTGGGAGATTTGTACATGGTAAAGGGGATTCTGAATAAGGAAGGCTATCACTCCTTTTTGCAACGCATATATAAAGAGAGAAAAGAATTGGAAACAGTTTGTCATTGTGAAACAGCAGTTTGTTCTAGCTGGTCCTTCAGGTTAAGCCAGGTTCTTGCCTTCAAAGGGAAAACATAAACAGCTTTAGTCTCTGAATCTAAGCATAGTTGTTATAAATACTGGAAGCGATTTCTCTCATTAGCCATAGTGTTCTCAAGATAATATACTCCTGAAATATGATTTGCCATAAGTATATATGTAAGCTATTTTTCTGAAAATGTCATATTTCTCTGACTCTTCACTTTAGTTCTGATCAGTTTATTTTACTGTCCTGAAGAAAGCAATCCCCCCAGCATCATGCTGCCATCAAAATGTTTAATGTTGGGGATGCTGTGTCCAAGGTAATATCCAATTGTCATTTTATTTACTTTTTAGTAACCATATAGTATTAGTGTCCTACATGGCTTGTACCTTCAAACCACTAAGTCAAATCCACTTTTTTTAAACTGTTGCAGCATATACGGTAATCTTTCTACTTTTTTCCATCTGACTGATCAGAGCACCATCAGACATTTTGTAAAAATGTCTGATGGTGCTCTGGAGCAATTTCTTTTTGATCTAGTTAATCAAGTTTAACAATAAGAAAACAAGGTAAAGGGATTTTGTCTGTAGTTTGTCTCAAAATGAAGTATTGGAATTAAACAATGTTCCACTAATGTGGCACAACTGCCACATTCCTGCAAACCCTCCCAGATGTAAACGTAACCTGTTAGGCCACCAAACCATAACATTCTTTTTTTTGTTTTTTCAAAGAAGCAAAAATTTCCATTGTAGCTCAGTAATTTCATTTTTAATTTATTATTAAGGCTTGTGTTGCAGATAAATGAACAATTTACCATTTATGTGTGTTTGGTTTTGCATTTCTTTATAACTAGATAAGAAATTAACTATAGCAGCAGGCTTTAATGACTCAAATCAATAGACCTAGGTATTTTTCTGCTCTCTGATTGGTCACACCCCTAACATCGCCCCTCTACCCAGGTTTTTGATTGACAGGTGCAGTTCAAGCGCCTCTTGCAGCTTCCCATGTTCATTGAATAAAGAGGCAACAGTCCATTGTTTGAGGTACGCCTCCTGCATAGAGTGATCTGTCTGCTGATGTGGGACCAGTTCAGTAAGGACCAATCAAATAGTCCGGGGGAAGTTTCCCTCGCGCGCACCAGCGTGGATCCTCTTCCACGTTCACGTGTGAGTGACATTCAACATCTCTACTCCAGCCATTGAGGGTTAGTTACAGAAATATTTTTAAAAACGAAACCAATATTCTTTGAAAAGTGAGCAAAAGCACCTTACCAAATATCGAATAATGATAATAATTAATTTACAGTCACACTTAAAACAGAGTTTTAATAATATGTTGAAATCTTAAAGAAGCAATATGACGCTTGCATGCTGCTTAATTGATAAAAAACATTAAAAGATGATATAATTAAGAGATATAAAACCAGAAACTAATTCCCATAGTGCAACACTTTTTAAACACAATTAATTCATAACTTGTGATTGAAAAGTTGATAAAAAATAACAATAAGAAAGAAAAATAGTCTGAAATACCATACAAAAATCATTTGATACCTAAAAATAGGTAAATATATATCACAGTTATAACTAAAACATTTATATACTATTTTTGTTTGTCAAGACAGCAAGAAGTACATATTTATCTATCCAATAGATATAGTTTATTATAAGATGATTTTCTATATCAAAAGGAAACAGCATCTTAACATAGAAAAGGTAAATGAGTTTAGGGTATTGAACTTTAACCACGCAATTGCTAACCTATTATACTGTTACTATGTATATATATATATATAAAATACATACCTCAGTACTATTTATACTGATTGATATTGCCATTAATTTTTCTGTATTGTTTTTATAAAATACACAGTTTATCCCTTTAACAACTGTATGCTTAAATCTGAATGTATGACTGGGTCATGCATGATTTGAAAGAGAAGTTTTTTTTTCTTATATTGGTCCAAGCAATTAGGACAATCATCTCTTGGTTATCTAACCTAAACTGAAATATATAATTATATATAATTATATAATATATAATTTGTCTGTACTGGACAAAATTTTTATTGATAGCACTTATCATATGACCTTGAAATACATATTTCTATATATTATATATTAATCAATTATCAAAATCCTGTATGATTTGTGAAGATATTTGAGAGCTGTACGAATAAATATAAATGAAACTTAAATTTTTCTACTGTAGAGAAATAGTTGCTTTAAACATTTCAGAATTCTATCCTTAAACAAGATATTACTAAACACTTTTCAACACTTTGGATCTTGAACACCCAACGCACCATGTGACGTCATGACGCCAGGGCATGGTCTTGTATCTTTCAACGACACCCCTTACGCATTGCCTTGCGCTGGATGTTATCTAGCTATCCCCATCCGCCTGCAGCCATTCAGAGCGGTGAAAACCTCCAGGAGCGGCTGGCTGGTAGCTTCCAGGGACTTTGACTGCTGCTGCTGCTGTGAAGCTGAGCGCTACAATGATGTCAGAAGACACGGAAGGAAAGAGCGAGAAAATAATGGATACGGAGAGCAAGGTGCTGTGGTACCCGGACTCCAAGAGGAACACACAGATGGACACGTTCAGGATACAGGTCAACTCAGACTACGGACTTAATCTGGGTGAGATTAAAGGTCCACACTCATCATAGCAGGTGTGTCGGATTTCATTGAGCCTGTGAAGCTGCAACTGAGCTGCAGGAAATAAAACCAGTTCCTCCGTCTGCTACTTGTTAGCTTTGATTATTTAATTTCATCCAGCATCTAAAGCTGCTTGTTATGGAGACGTGACTAAATTAGCAGCATCGGATGAATGTTGCTAAGCATGTCCTCCAGTCTGGATCAGCAGCTTGGCCTGATTGTCAAACCCATTAGAGAGAGATGGCCTGTTTCAGTTGCTCCTGTTTAAAATGACTGAGGAATGCAGTAAAACTAGATTAAATGGAAACATGCCATCCAGGAACAACTGATACAGATTTAAACACCTAACCAGAGGCGTAGCCAGAAAATGTTTATTAGGGTGGCCAGGTAATGACTAGTGTACACTGAGGGGTGGCACAGGAACCTCAGGGTCAATCTACACTCTTCCAACAGGAAAATTAATGAGAAAAACATCCATATTTTCTAAATAAAGACAACCTATACTTTCCTACAGCCTTTGCAAACAAATAGACGCATATATTTAAACATCCATGCTTTCTAGATAAAAGGTATAGTGGATAAACTTCTTTTAGGTTTAAGTTCTGGGGCCAACGTCTTTTCCATTGTCTTTTATCAATAATCATTCTGGATTAAATGTATATTTACAAGTAATAATGTAGCTGCCATCAGAGTCAACTCATTTAAATATTTTAATATTTAGTTAAAACAAGAGTTAGCACCTACTAGTATTACAATTAAATGTTCATTCATAAATAAATAAATAAATAACTTTCAGTAAATTTATGTCGTTTATGTACATTGGTTAAAAAGCACATTAAAATGTAAGGAGGAACCTATGTTTTTTGTTCCGCATGTCGTGTTGTTGACCATGGGAAAGATTGATTGACACAATTAAGACTGTTTTTGTGAGAAAAGCTGTATAAGTTATCTTTATTCCTCTGGAGTTTATGCGGCCAATGAGGTACGACTCTTTTTTTTACTTGTATTTATTTGTGTAAACCTTTATATTTGTTTTGAGCTAATTTTATAAGACGTGTCCACAATAAATGGCTGTAAAAACCAAAAGAACGACATTGAGCCTTGATTATCTCGAGAGGAGTAACAACTAATATCTATATAAATTGATTATTTGCTAAGTTTTTATTAAATAGTTATTTCTCTATGATTTCTCTGAAGACTCTTAGATGACACATCATTTTCTCTTTACCCCATATAACACAAAATCTATTTCTGAAAAGAGCATGAAATCTGTATTTCTCATCTTTAATGTTAGTATTTTGATGTGCATAATTAACCACAGTGTTTTTGTTGTCAAGTAATTGCTAATGTATGAAAATTTAAAATGTTTGGAATATTCCACTTGAGAGTATTACTGCTGCCACCGTCTGTATTAGAGGGAAAAAAATGGTAGGGGTGGCTACAGGGGTGGCCAATGATTGGCTAAGGGTGGCCCTGGCCCCCCATCTAGCTCCGCCTCTGCACCTAATCATGACACAGTTATTGGTAATGCTTTGTACTTTATAAATAGGTATTTAGGTTTTCTATTGTGTTCTTTTGCACCAAGTTTACATCTGTGGAGTACAAAGGGGATGGAAAACACCCAATAGTTCCCTAATTATTTCTAAGAACCACTTATAAGAAATACATTACTGAAATATAAGAATTGACTAAACTAAATCCTATCTATTGGCACTGGATGTTTGCTTGAAGCAGTCAATCATGCAAATGTGCCTGAAGTTGGTTTCAAATTGGGGCAATTCAAATGTTTCCTACAAGCCTTGTGATCAAATCAAATAACCATATATATATATATATATATATATATATA